GTTTGATGGCACTAATATATATATATATATATATAAAAAATAATTGAACTATTAGAATTTATCTAAAAATGTACTTAAGCCTCTTTTATAAAGAAGTGTTCGGTCATCTCCTAGAATGACGGGATGGGTGTAAGGTCACATTGAACTTGAAAATAATGACCCTTCTTTTTCCATTAATGTCTATTTAGTAAGTCATAACACATCATGAATAAATAAACTATTCAAACGCAAAGACAATTGACCTTGTGTGTGCCCTTCTTCACAGCACTGCCCTGTACCAGCAGTCCCATGACAGGCCTCCTCCAAATTGAGGCAATTAGTGCAATGTGTTTTTCCATTAATCTGTGTGTCGCCACTGCGCGCTAATGACTAGGCTGGGACATGGTCTAATCAGACAGGGATTCTTTCACCGTTCACATGTAGCAGTCGCTGGGAAGGGCGCCACTTTGGCCTTCCACATGGACGCACGCGCACTTCAGAGCGGTGAGGTCAGGGAGCATTCAGAGGCACCGGCTACTGCGGTACAAGTTATTAAGCATATAAGTACGTTGAATATGGAAAGACACAGGTGTGCAAGTTTGGTATTTTAGAGCCCATGTTGCATACATAATACTGGATATATTTTTAATATTTGGAATAATTACGATTTTTTTAATGCTTTTTGAAGTTTCAAAAAGTTGCTCAAAAAGACTTCATTTGTTTGATCAAAATACAGTAAAGCAATTATTTTTTTCTTTTTATTATTATCAGCTTTGAAAACAGTTGTGCTGCTATTTTTGTGAAAACTGTGATCATTGGGATTCTTTTTCATGAGCAGAAAAACAACAGCATTTATTTGAAACTGAAAATTTTGTAACATTATAAATGTTCTTACTGTCACTTTTCATCAATTTAATACATCCTTGCCAAATAAAAGTATTCATATCTTTATTTATTTATTTTAAATCTTACTTCAGCATTGATAATGATAAGAAATATTTATTGAGCACCAAATCAGCATATTATAATGATTTCTGAAGGATCTTTTAATGCCGAAGACTGGAGTAATGATACTGAAAATTCACTTTTGCCATCACAAGAATAAATTACGTTTTAAAATGTATTCTAATAGAAACCAGTTATTTTTAATTGTACGAATATGTATGAATATTTCACAATGTTACGTTTTTACTAGGGATGCACCGATACTGGTATCGGTATCTGGCCCGATACTGAGCTCCTGTACTCAAGTTAACCAACTAACATTATACATACCCTTTTGGTTTCTATACCCAATATTTAAAAAAATGTACAAATGCAATAAAAGTATCGGTATCGGTATCGGCAAGTACCAAAAATAAAAGTATCGGTATCGGGCGAGTACTGGAAAAAGTGGTATCGGTGCATCCCTAGTTTTTACTGTATTTTTGATTAAGTAAATGCAGCCTTGGTGAGACTTGTTTTCAGAAACATTAAAAAAAAATCTTAATTATTCAAAACTTTTGACCACTAGCGCATCCTGGGGATAAAAAAAATAAAAGTAATTAAGTTTGGATATAAATGGAAAAAAAACCCTATGCTTTCCCATGACTTGATTGCGGCATACTTCCATGAATTTGGCCACTACGCTAATTTACATTTACATTTAGTCATTTAGCAGACGCTTTTATCCAAAGCGACTTACAAATGAGGACAATAAAAGCAGTCAAAACTAACAAAAGAGCAACAATATATAAGTGCAAATGACAAGTCTCGGTTAGCCTAACGCAGTACACATAGCAAGGTGTATATATATATATATATATTATATACACACACACACACAAAGAAAAACAGGTAGATAGAATAGAAAAAATAGAAAGCTAGTGTTTGTTTGTTTTTGTTTTTTTTTTAATAAAAAAGAAGATAAATATAGATAAAGCATAATTAAAATAGAATAGAAAGTGCTAGAGTTAGAGGGTCAAATAAAGGTGGAACAGATGTGTTTTTAGTCGTTTCTTGAAGATGGTTAAGGACTCAGCTGCTCGGATTGATTTGGGCAGGTCATTCCACCAGGAGGGAACAGTTAATGAAAAAGTCTGTGAAAGTGATTTTGTGCCTCTTTGAGATGGCAAAAAATCACAAAAAAAATTTTTTTTTTCAAAAAATAAAATTCTCCTCTAATTCATACAAGCAAAATATATAATGAATTGGGTATGAAGAGCACAGGAACACAAGCCGTTAATAAACTTCTGTGTTTGTTGTGGTAGTATTGTAGTTATTCAATGCTGATAAACAGCCACCTGTGACCACACAGTTGCAACACTGCTTATCAACCGTAAACACAAAAAACTCTGACAGTTATAGTAACATTCTGAGTTCAGTAAGTTAAGCTAAATCAACAACATTTATGTCAACAGAAAATTGACTCGCCTTTTGTTTTCTTAAAAAAAAAAAGTTACAATGAGGCACTTGCAACAGAAGTGAACAGGGCATTTATTTGTAGAAATGTCAAGCTTTTAATTTTATAAAAACGCTTGCGTTAATTCTCCTCTTAAAACTTGTTTGAGCTGTAAAGTTGTTCTTATCATTTTTACAGTTATTTTAGGGTTTTATGGCAACAGACTTGTGAACAGACTCTTCACACTAAAATCATGTTAATGCACATATGGTTTACATCTAGTGGCTGTGCTATTGAAACAGTGAGTACAAGATTGGCTCCATTCACTTTCATCATGATACAATCTGACAGTGATTCTCTTAGCCAGAGATATGATTTTTATAGATACCTCAAAATATGCCGCAATACAATTACAATTTGATTAGATTTATTATGATATTTTGTGCTTGTGTGATTTTACACAGTTACATTTTTATTAACTCGCAAATGCAGCACAAACTTTTAATTGAGCTACCTCAAAATTGCTAATACGATATCACTACTGGTTGTTATAACTTAATAATAGTAATAATAATAATTATAACTTATCAAATATTTAATGACACCTCTGTGAAATGTTTAAAACAGTCGATGAATGTGAGTGTCAAAATAAAGGTGCATCTTAAAAATATAGATATCGGTGTTTGTGTGTTCTGTGTTGTCATTACATCGTATCATTATTCATTTGATCAATGCATCACTCCATATCAATGTATCATTGTAGCCCTAGTAAGTGCCTCACTGTAACCCAGATTTTTGCTTTTTAAAGAATATTGACTCCATCTTAGCCTTTATTGATCGTCACATTGCTGTTATCAAATTGATGTTTCAGTGATTTTAGGGGGTTTTAGGGACTAGTAAACTGGTGTCTGACATGATTCTTTTTCTTTTCAGATACTACTCTGCATTGAAAACCATGGAGCAGCTACAAAACATTTATATTCCCAGAGTGAGCCAGTACAGGTTCTGCCAAATCATGGCTGAGACGCTTCCTAAACTCCGAGAGGAGATTAAGGAGATCTCCATGTCTGACCTAAAAGACTTCTTGGAGAGTATCCGAAAGCACTCGGATAAAATTGGTGAAACTGCAATGAGACAGGTAGGATTTTATTTTATTTTATTTTTATTTTTATTTTATTTATTTTATTTTATTTTATTTTATTTTTATTTTATTTTATTTTATTTTATTTTATTTTATTTTTATTTTATTTTATTTTATTTTATTTTATTTTATTTTATTTTATTTTATTTTATTTTATTTTATTTTATTTTATTTTATTAAAATAGACTGTTGTACATCTAGGTTTCAAAATCTAGTCTATGGTTGCTTCCTAACTGAGACGGATTCTTATAAGTGACTGATTTGGAGGGGTGTACATAGGTGTCTGCATATCATACAAAGTGCATTGGAGAATAGATTCATTGATCATTGGTTTCAGAGTTTGCTGTTTGCATGTTAATGCTGCCTACCTTGTGGAACAGCCTGAGCTAAACCCTGATGCTTTAAAATATTCTATGTAGACACCTGGTTTTGAGATGTAGATAATGGGTACTAAACATTTTTGCACACGTATATGGAAAACTAAAGTTGCAGTGAGAGGCTGTTGACGTTATTGTTGATCTCCTCTTCATCACCTTGTTCTCTCAGGCTCAGCAGCACCGTACGTTTAACAGTGCAGTGCAGAAGCAGGTGACTCTGAGCTGTGCCAAACCTCTGTATGGTCTGAATGGCCGAACACCCCTCCATCACAACGGCCTGAGCACAGAGGCAGCGGACGAAGAGGAGATCGATGAGGAGGTACATTCTGAGAATATTTAGCATCATCGAGCCCAAAAGGGGTGTACATAGGTGTCTGCATATCATACAAAGTGCATTGGAGAATAGATTCATTGATCATTGGTTTCAGAGTTTGCTGTTTGCATGTTAATGCTGCCTACCTTGTGGAACAGCCTGAGCTAAACCCTGATGCTTTAAAATATTCTATGTAGACACCTGGTTTTGAGATGTAGATAATGGGTACTAAACATTTTTGCACACGTATATGGAAAACTAAAGTTGCAGTGAGAGGCTGTTGACGTTATTGTTGATCTCCTCTTCATCACCTTGTTCTCTCAGGCTCAGCAGCACCGTACGTTTAACAGTGCAGTACAGAAGCAGGTGACTCTGAGCTGTGCCAAACCTCTGTATGGTCTGAATGGCCGAACACCCCTCCATCACAACGGCCTGAGCACAGAGGCAGCGGTCGAAGAGGAGATCGATGAGGAGGTACATTCTGAGAATATTTAGCATCATCGAGCCCAAAATAAACATGAAGCACCATACTTTAGCCCTGCTTTATGTATGGCATTAACATCCAGGTCTTCTCGAAAACTTCCCGATTTCATCCTGAAATTATATTTGACAAAGAAAATTCATTTAGAATCATTATATATATATTTTTTTATAAATGCAAAATTTTCCTCTGATGCTTGTTAATAATATTTAATGAATATTTAATTAATTACAGTAAAAAGTAAAAATTAGGGCTGGGCAAGTTAACGTGTTATCACGTTAGCGCCGACAATTATTTTATCGTGCATTAACGCAGTTTTTATTATTATTATTATTATTATTATTATTATTATTTTGAAAGCCCGTTACTCACTGGCTCTGAATTCACATACAGACAAACCATGTGTCACAGGAGGGGTGGGATGTTGATCAGTACTGGCTTGGGATGGGCGTCATCACACGTCTCAATCAATGAGAGCATTTGGGGTGGGCCTAAGACTGCAGTATCGCTCACATGAACACTCCCGATAAAATAATTTAGGCTAAGCATCAACATTCACAAACCACTATTTCTTTAATTAATCGGCACATAATGTGCATGTTAATTAATTAATCTTATTAATTTGAGATTATTTTGATTAATGAATTGGCACATTATGTAATTAATTAGATTTTTTTAAAATCACTTGACAGCCCTATTTAAAACATAAGAAACAATCTTCTGACCCCCCCGATGGTCACTGTGTAATTCGCACCCTGGTCTCCACTGCTAAAAGGACATACTATCACAACAAAATTAACAATTCGCCTAACTCTCGCATGCTCTTTAAAACATTTTCCTCCCTCCTTTGTCCTCCTCCTCCCCCTCCTTCATCAAAGCTGACGACTTTGCCACATTCTTCATTAATAAAATTACAAACCTCAGTGCACAATTTGCCACACCACAAACTGCCAAACACATCTTACCAGCAAACATACAATCGTTTTCATCCTTCTCTCCACTCTCTGAGGCAGAAGTCTCTAAACTCATCCTTTCCAATTATCCTACTACTTGTCCGCTTGATTCTATTCCATCTCATCTCCTTCAAGCCATTTCTCCTGCAGTTGTACCTGCACTCACTCACATC